TGACACACATGCATTAGTGGAACTTGTGTTTGTCGCAATAGGACTCAGTCTAAACAATAAATATAATCTGCTGTAATATGTTTTTTGAATTCAAGTATTTCATTACGTTGACTGAGAAACTTGTTGTAATGCTAAATTATTGAGTAACAACTATTTTGAACAATTATAATATAGATAATAGCAAACTTACCTCATTGGAGTAATGGGCCACGTTCGATACATCAGTATTCTAACATGGATCTCTCGGGTCAAAATTGCCAATTGTTTAAGATTCTTTTGTCTCACAATCCCAGATTAAAAGAGACTTGGATACATAGAAAACACCACAAAATATAACAGCTTGTTCTGAAAGCCTAGGAAGCCGTGTTAGACTATTGATATATCGAATGTGGCCTATTGTTTCAGCTTTGCATAAAATTTGTTGTTAGTGAATCCTCGAGAAAAATAACGTTATAACAATTATTTTTAAAACATAATTTAAATTGCCTATTAAGAATATTTCTAAACATGTAAAGAATAACTGAGCATAAATAGTTACTACGTCTGAGTAAAGCAGTAACTACTCCTATATTTCCCTGAAAAGCAAGGACCTGTTACAATGTCGGTGACATAATTAAAATATTAAGTGATAAATATGTTTTTTTTTTTGGTACATGACATCATAAAGTTGTATTTTGAGGCCATCAAGTAAATTGTTAGTTTCGTCACCAGGTTTAGTTCAAGTTCAAGTTCTAAAAATCAGTCTACTTAAATAAGTGAGTTTAAGTTCAAACTTTGCAGTAAACTGACATACACTTGTCGTACATGTGCTAATCAACAAAAGGCTTCTAAAAGACGCCATAAACGCATGTAGATGTTAGCAGTTATTTAATCTATTCTAAAATTTAAATTTTCTAAAATCTAAATTTTTTGAAATTTAAATTTTCGCTGTCTTGCCTGTTTGCATGCTTAAGACCAGTGCATGAGAATGCTTGTCCCACCATTCATTTCACAGGTAGTCCAATCCTTCCAGAACTACCTGCCCATCGAACATCCTCAGCATCCAGTTTAAAAGGTGACCTGCTGAAATCAAAGAAATCAAAGAAAAAGTTAACTAGGTGAGCAATTTTGTGATATTTTCAAACTATGTCCTATTGTGTTCTACTCCCAAATGTGTAAACTCAAACAGATTTGGAAGAGTTCACAACCTTTCCACAGATAATGTTTTAAAGTCAGTACGATAACAGAATTAAACATAATTGTTTTATCAGGTAGTAATCATGTGATGAGCATAGAAAATGCTTGGACTGTTTGGTTGGCTTACAACCATCCCAGAGTTTTCAAAAATACTATATAAATTGGACACTACTTACAGTAACTCATGATTCTTTCCCAGGCCCTTTTCATTTCTTAAGTAGTAATTGTCTCCACCTTGGTTTTTCTTGATTTCAGGGATGTTGTTGGTGAATTTAACTGTCTTAGAAGAAGAGTGGAAGAACTACAACTTGTAAGTTAAATTTCCTTGGTTGAGTCTATGGTACCTTCGTAGCCAGAGAAAGCAGACATCTTCAGCGATTCATTTCCTTCATTCCACCTATAATGGTGGAAAAGCAAGAGAGTGGTCTGATGGCTTGATTATTGCTCGGATTTTACCATTCAGAGGCATTTAAAAAAGCCATGTGGGTGCACGTCCAAAATTTGGACTCCTCTCTTTGGAAGAGGGGTACTATTTAAACAATAGAGTGTTCCTGTCGAGGAACTATCGGCTGACAGTTGCCCTGCGGAAAATTGATGTTCTTAAAACAATTCAGTATTTGCCTGAGAAGTGAAGCTTCAAGGGCAAATATGCTAGTTTTAAAACATCAAATTCCCATGCGGCAACTATCAGACCGATAGTTTCGAGACAAAAATACCCTGTTGTCTTTATTGTTCACCACTAAATTTTTCTTCTGTGCTCCAGTTCAAACATCATAGTGAATTATTTTCAACTTTTTTAGTTGAAAGCCGTGAAAGACAAATGTAGAATTTGAAAAAAAAAAAAAGCAGACGAAAACCCACTTAGTACAATTTAAGTTGGTTGTTTTCTTTAAGCCTGCTTGTTTAGACCTGTTCACGGATGAGTACAGGCGCTAAGAGCTTATAGTGTCTCCGCGGATGAACACTATCGTGTCACGTGATCAATTTAAGCCAATGAGATTGGAGTAAATTTAGTGGTGAACTATAATTTCTTAGAGAGTCCTTTCGTCGAAAACACAATAAACAGGTTTGCTCAACCTCTTCAAGAATGATTTTATAACACCAATATTCATAGAGCACATTGCAGCAGCCTGCAGTAGATAAAATCGCCTAAAAAATGCGGATCACCGTGAAGGTATTTCATGCATGCTTTTTGCTTACTATGATATTGTTATTATTACCTTGTTCTTCACGTAGGAAACTGAATCCCTACGGCAGAGTTTGCAAGAAGAGCAGAATGCAAGAAAAAAGATGGAAAAGTTCATTCGCTGTTCGCTGAAGGGAGTGATCCCAGATCTTAAATGGGAGGACGTGGAGAAAAGCTAGCAAAGATGATAGCTGAGAATTTTTTAACTTTGTTAACTGTTGAAAGAAATTTTAATAATCTGCAATCAAAATGTACTCAAAATTACACGTTAAACTAAAATTGCATAATTGTTATTTTTCTTTTCATAATATATCTTCCAGTTGATAAGTAGAAATTTTAAAGTTATTCCTTATAAACATCATGAATCAAACCTTTTTAATGAGTGAAATATTCGTAACTTTTAAAACTTTTTTTAAGAAATCCTTTCCTTCTCCAATTGTAGGAGATTTTTAACTTGATTACGTAATTACTTAACTTATCAGTGCATAACAGACTTGCATAAGACAGTTTACTGTTACCAATTTAATTACACTTGACAGAAGCTTATGTTGATTAATATTAACAGGACATATTTATTGAAAGTGCTCTTTAAATCTTATCGTTTTATTTTTAACTGATGTAAGAAATTTTGTTATCAAGTAAATTGCTACGTTGTTTTTGTGGCAATTAATATAGTTATGTGTATCTTTTCAGACAAGATAATATATTATGGCAGTCAAACTTTGTTCGCATTTACTTTACTAAATATTAGGAAGGAGAGGATTTAAGATATATTAATTTAATATTAATGACTTTTTGCTCATTTAATGTGTGTGGTCAGATTTGTGTAATTTTGCCACGATGAAGCTTACACAATATAGTTTTAACTGGAAATCTGTTGCCCAAATGGGAAAAAAGCATTTACGGAACAAACCTATTCATGAATGGTCGCCAATGAAAAATTATTTGGAATTATCAACTCAAAAACGAGGCTAGTAAGACTAATTTTGATACTTACAAAAGAGTTATTTTAGAATTGGCAGTCATTTATGAGTAGGGTCCATTAGCTAGCCATTAAGGATTTTGAATTTTTTTACGTGTGGCGGCCATTTTAG